CCTACAGCCAGGATGTGGAATACTGCAGATGCAGCACGTGATGTGTTAAGCATCCAGCTTGATTATTCCATTGGGTTATCATTTCATGAACATCCAATTTGGAAAGCATATAAAAGTTTAAGTATTTAAGCAGTGCTGGTTGGTTTTTAATTCTTCAAAGGGTTTTGTATGTTTTTAAATGGGATTTTACCTTACTTGGCTGGAATCCATCGTAAATAATCCATAAAGGAAAACGAAGAGGCCAACAAGGGCAGCAGGGATAAGCATTCCAGTATACCATCCCAACCAGGCAAAATACAGCCCAATTTTTTCACCAAAGTATCGCCTACATGAGAAACAAATACATATGTTGTTTAAACATAAAACTTAACAATGACCCTGTCTTTTTGGTAGGAGAATAATTCTAAAAAGGAGCCAAGATTGTGAGCTTATGCTAAAATTACCGTCTGCACAGCTGTTCCAAATCAATACATTTTAATTCAGGCTGGTATGATATTCTAGTGACATTAATTGTGCTCTTGCGAAAGCAGGTATTTTATAAGATATAACTGATGTGGTCTGCAATTTTTAATCTTGCAGTGTCATGTGAGTGGATTTATGGGCCTTTATGCAGCCTTCTTTGAAAGAAACAGGCCAGCACAAAAGAAAAGCCAGAAGAAATAGCCCACAGAATCTGTGTCTTATTTTGATATATCGAATAGCTGAAGTTTAATAAATTTTACAGTAAAACACAAGGATTTTAGCACTATGGTTATCGTGCTGTTCATCTCACACAAACAAGCTATTTTTTCAAAGAAACTATACCTGATTAAATCCAGAGGCTGGTATTTGTACCACATTCCCCACCGTGCCCAGCGCTCGTACAATAGGTGCCTGTGGTTCTGCGCTCCGTGGGTTTTGATGGGATGTCTGCTCTTGTGGCTCCCCTGAAAAGCACAGAGACATAAACCTATTTTACTGGCCACTAAAAGACATACATTTATTAGCCATTAGGATACAATTATAAATCATCCGAACATCCTTATTTTTATTAAGCCAGTTTCATTTACTGTGTGTAACTCCAGGATGGGTCACCTGGAGCTAACACATAGGCTTGATACAGGGTACAGAAAGGCTAATTTCTCTAGGAACTCATGACATCAAAACAGGACTAGACTACACAGAAGCAGTCAGCTCCTTATAAGGCCTATGCACAGTGTTTCTGTTTCACTAGTAGATGCATATTTGTGTGCTTTAGCCTATCTCCTTGTTTCACAAATTTTCCCCAAGATGCATATGTGCTATTTATTTCTCTCTCCTATAAAATTTCAAAAATTTCTCCATCATCAGCTTGATTCTCCTCTCCTAGATATTTTGTATAACTTGATTAAATCCCTGATTAAAAGGATAGAAAAACACGCTGTTTCTGATCTTTTCATCATTTTTTGGAAAAAAAAATCATAGAAACAACAGAACTGGCATTATCCTGAAGTCCACACAGGCCTCTCAGAGGAACTAAAAGCAAACGATAACACCAATCTGACCAAGAGGCCTCCTTCTAGGTCTTGCTTGATGTTCCCAACTGCCTCGAAGAACAACCTGCAGTGTTAACACCTAACTGAAGCAATACCAATAATATTCAATAATTTTTCTAAAATATCTAAATATTCCTCCGCAATATACCACTGTGTTCAATTATTAATACCACATAAAAATTTACCCAGCAAATTGAAAAGCACAGGTCAGTCCCTGAAAGGCGAGATCATGGCTCAGTATCCACCCCCACAATCAAGAGTTCACAGCTGCAATTACAAAGCTACTGACTGGGTGATCATAGCATGAAAGGCATTTAAGATCACCCAAAATGAGTATCTTGCCTCATTCTTTTCAAGACACAAGGATGGGCACAAAGCCCTGAAGACAAAGACACCTCTTTCATTCCTTTCAGCAGTTATTTAGTAGCCTTTAGTCTACTGAAGAAGATACTTTCAAACAAGTTATCCATAGCTCAGAAAATACTCACAGCACAGAAAATACTCAAACAAAAAATGATTAACTCATTTCTCTAGCTTGGATCCACCACACAGCGTATTAGAAAATGAAACATTTTGAACATGACACACAGAAATAATTTAAAGCAACTCGTTGGAACAACTGATGCTCTTTTTAAGAACTCCACAGGCCATATCTACTTGATAAAAAAAATAAAGTAATATAACAATATTCTAGATCAGTATGAAGCTGCTCCAGAATATTATTGCAATGCTTTGATAAGGAAAAGTCAAAAAGCCAACATTCTATTAGGACTATAAATAAAAAAGACTGAACAGATTACATAGTATGATAGGTTAAAACACAAAAAACTAGTACTATCCCAGAATGTTAATACAAGTTTTATTTTAAATACGTAGAAAATATAAAATAATATAAAATATAAACAGGTTACCTCATGGGGTGGAAATGCAGCTTCGTATGTTCCATTATTTAGTAATCTGTTAATACCTAGGAGGGAAAAATATAAAGAGATTAGATATCCATTAGACCCCAGGCCAATTTTCTTTTCATGCTTGTCTTGGAGCAGTGCTAATTCTCAAGCAATGCACTGAGAGTAGCACTTGGCATTCGAAGCTCACGATGCTGTGAAAGACATCAGTGACCAGGTCTAAGCAAAGTCTCAAGATTTCCGGATCTGTCAAACTAGAGGGACTTGCTTAAATCTAACGCCTGCAACTTCTCTCTCCCAGCTGGGCGCTCGTGCCAGACCAAGGGTGAGAACATGGCCACGGTTGTGCTGCATCAATCAGAGCGTGTGATACAGATTTCATGCGTGACCAGATGATCTGGCCCATGGAGAGGGTGGCATGGACAGACAAATCCTTGGGCAGCAAATCCCTGCAGGGTTAAACCTAACCTCTTTGTTGTTATTTTTCTAACACAGTGGAAGGAGTTTGTATAACAGCCGTGGCTTGATTCAGCTCCTAGCAGATCCGTCTTGAAATCTTCTATGTGATCAGCCTCATAATTAATTAATAAATAATTAACAATAAAAAAGATACAGTAACCTTTGAAAGGATACCTATAGCCAATAGTTTCCTCTAGAAATAATTTCTCATGAAAGATTTTAAATGTGCTTATTTAAAAACAAGCGTGACAAACTAATCTCAAAATGAAGTCTGGCCATCAGCTTCAGAGGGACTGGATTTGAACCCTTGTTTCTTGTGCTTTTCTTATGACTTCCTTCCCTCACAAAACACAGGCAAAAACTTTCCATAATTACTATTCTCATCAGAAATATACATCTCTAAGTAGGGGTGTGTGTGTGTGTGTATAGATATATAAAAATAAAATTCTTGCAATAAAATTCTAAGTCACATAACACATCTTCTGTTAAAATGAATAATTGGAGCTTCTGAAAAAAAGCAGTGTAATAGGAGCGTCCTTAAATAAGCTAAGCATATCTCAGATTGCCTCTGGTGGAATGTAAGCCCTGTAAACCAACAGAACTCCTAGCATCACTCCTAGAAATCCCTCTTTAGCTATCAGAGGTTACGTTATCTTCATTGTGGCTGGCTATCAAAGTTATCGTTGCCTCCCTAATTTATTTTAAAATATATTATGTGAAAAGAAGCTGTCAGTTTTTCACTGAATCCTTTAATAACTGGTTACCGTGTTCAGTTAGCTCTCTCATTAACTGAATAAACAGATTTTTAAGGGATGGCAAAAATTTGAGTTTACTCAACTGATACCTTTTCAGGCAAGTAATGCCAGCAAATGTTTACACCTTCAAGGGAGGAAAAAAAAAAAAAAAAAAAATACAGCATGCTCACCCATTTTGGATTTTCCATCTTCATACTTAGTTCTCTGTAGCATGTGATGCACTATTCTGCTTCTGGTGGAGTTGCTGAAGAAGCTGTCTTTATTGTTTATGGTAAAACTGTTAAAAAAATTAATGTTTTTAATATGCAAAATAATGTATGGGTATTGAAACAAAATGGCTCAATATTCTCCTCTTACAGTGATTTAGTGCCTCTACATTTCTGGGTAACTGCACAGAATGTAAGATATTACATCTTATCTCTGGATAAATGGTTAAATTTTTCATTATCCTGGTTTATTGTGAGGAAAATAAAGCAACTAAAACTATTTTTATAGCATCTAGATCATTTCTGTTTTGAATATAAATCTAAAACACAAATCAAATCTTCAGAAGTAGTGAAGATCATTCTCAAACTTATGTTACTGATGAAATCAGGCCATGTCTGGGTCAAAGAACCATTAGGACTGCTATTTAGCCTGGAAATACAAATCTCCACACACCAGACACCCAAGTAGCAGCTTTACAAGCCTCTTCCCTAGAGAGTCCCAGGATGAGGCCAAACCTTTCCCATCCTTCCCAGATGGTTCTGATTCTGGAAGCCAAAAATCTAACATGCAGCAGCTTTTGCCTACTCCATTGTGCCAAAAGTGACACTGTTGCAGTTCATAACTTCAGCTGACTTGGTTGAGAAGTAACACCAAAACCAGATGACTGACTAAACACACTAATTACTCACAAAATTGAGATGATAATGCAGGTCCACTGCCTTTCCAGGCCATTTGAGTTGAACATACTGCTACTTTAGTGAGGAAAAGAAAGTCCTTCTTGTAAGCAAAAGTTACAATTTTACTTTAGATGATTTTTTCAGTACTAAAAAATTATCCCAAAATAATCTAAAAACTAAGAAATCACCAGAATTTTCATGTCTTTTACTGTCTTGGTCCTTAAAGAAAATTGTATCAAAGGAAATTATATTGCTGCTGAAATACATCATCAACCCACTGATTTGAACACATATGTATCATACAGTTGTTCTTTGATGTAAAAATTTATATTTTTATAGGAAAAAAAATACTTTCTAAAATGTACTTTTGGCTAAAAAGCAATGTCACTGTTTTTAGCTTTCTTCCAGGCTTTCCCAGTTTCAACAGATGCCTCAGTTTTGTCTAAGCAAATTTTGTCATTAAGCACAGCCAGCTCGAGCCACAGTCTGCATTTTGTTACCTAACGGAGAGAAACAATTCCTAAGCAAAAAGGCTGTGTTCCTTTTCCAGGCAAATGCTGGGCTATGCTATTGAGCGACTGCCAGCTGGTTAGAACAGAGTGGGGTTTTTAATCTTTAGGAGAAAACCTGCAGAAAAAGTCACCTATGACGCTGGGTATTTGCGAGCAGCGACCATCTGTTAGCGGTGACCTGCAGGCCCTTGCTGGGAAGCGGGAAGGAGAGCTCCCTGCAGCTCGCTGCCGCGGCCCCGGGCCAGCACTTACTGGTGGATGCGCGCGCGGCTGAAGGGGGCTGTGTAGCAATCTGTTTCCTCCAGATCCGGCAGCGCCTCCTTATCCAGCTTCATCGGATTTCTGGGCAGCCAGCTCTTCAGCTCTCTCATGTTCCTCTGCAAACTGAGACCACGAGAAGTCAGAATCCCCCGCGTTTCGCCTTCCATCAGCGCATCCCTAGCAACGCCGCACTGTGACTGAAAGCAATCCCCCGCATTTTCCCCACTAAGTAGCCACAGGAAAACAAGGAGTTCAAAAGTAAAATGAAGGATGACGATTTGTGATCTCGTCTCGCACACTTGACTCGAGCACAGCTCATCCTCGTTACCAACGAGGTTGCGATTTCGGATGGTGGTGAGCTCGGGGAAAAAAAAATGGGGACAACAACAACAACATCATCAACAGACTTTTTCAAGTCACAAAATCATTTTGCAGGATAGTTCATTTAGCAGTGCTGTGAACTACTAACTTCTGCTACATCCACTGGGAACATAGGGTGGATTCCTACTCCCTCCCCTGGCAACTTAGACACTAAATTCTTTTTATATATAAATAAAGGACTGCTCACGGCAAAATTTGCTGAATCAAATCACTGTCAGCTTCCATAAAACCTTATTCTGCAAGATTTTCATCAAAATCCACTGGCTGATGTCACCTCAGAAACAGTCTGCCCCTACATAGACATAGCATAGAAGATGCTTTACACTGGCAGTTTCATACAGTTGTAGATAAAAACTAGATTAAGTTTTCTCCAAATTGTTACATAATTCACAAGAACATAAGTTTTGCATCCTTTCCCCTGTATATATTTATATACTGGCAACATCATCCCTGTCTATTATATACTGGTAACATGCATAGCTTTCTTCCACTGGCAACTTGTCCTTTCAGGACAGGTTTTACAAAAGGAAAAATCTAGTCCAGTATAGTTAATTTTACAGGGAATGCTAGAATTTATCTTCTTATTACTTCAATTTAGCACTCCTCAAATTCCTCTATTTTCTCACATTAAAGATACTTAAGGACTAAGTCTCATCTTACAGGAATGCTTTATTATGATACCAGAAGCACATCAGAGATCCAAGGCGGGGGGGGAAAAAAAAAAAAAAAACAAACACACACACACACACAAAACACAGATCTTAGAAAAGTATTCTCTAAAAAATATTTTAGTGTGATTTGGCCCTACTGAATGTGTGTGCAAGATATACAAACACACATATCTCATCTCCACAAAATACATATCACTGAGTACCAGTATCTGAAGCGGATACTTGTCTGCGCTAGGCAGAAGCGTGGATGCACGTTTCCTAATTAAGAAGAGGTGGTAACACTAAGTAGCGCTGAAATAAGAAGCTGCTTTTGTGAAAATGTACCTCAATATCAACAACCACATAAAAAAACCACTCTACCTGTACTTAACACTGTGTCAGAAAGAAATCTAAGTCAACGGGTAGAATTTTACATTTCCATTTAACTTTGCTCTATAATAAACCTAAAATGAAGCAGCAGGAGTAGAATCACCATGCTCTCTGAGATTTTTTTAGCTGATATAAAGAGCATGATATTAGAGCTTTCTGCATCATGAGATTTTGTTTTGAGGATTTTTTTTAGTGTTAAAAAGATCAGCCAGGATAAAACTGAAAATTTCAATCAGCAAAAAAACGATGCCTCTGAGGGACACAAATTTATTGTATACTAAGCTTTACAAACCAAAGATTATAGCTAAGTGCAGAAAGCTGAAACAGAGATAACTGCATCCCTTAGGTGCCTCCTTTGCTCAAACAATATTTTATCCTGAGAATTACTTTATTGGCTCCAGAGGAAGCTCTCACACTACTAAGATTTACATAGTGAATGTAAGCATAAAGCTTTCGTTTTATTCTCTTTCTTCTCTGTTCTGATACTGGCTTCTTTAAAAGCTATTAAAAATGTAGACATGTAAAAAATATATTTTTTAAAAAAAATATGTATTTTATAGTTGTATAAAAAGACTTAATTATTTTTCCCCCCAAAAATTTAAAAAATGGTAGATGAATCTCATCTTAAAGAAATAAACTTAAAAAAAAAAATCACATTCTCCTCAACATGCAAAGTCATGAAGAAAAAAAACTTGGAAAAACCTAAAAAGGGGATGCACATTACATTTGTAACTTCTCCTCTGAAGTAAAAAGGCTTTTTATCTATGATGTGTTTTTTCCATTACCTCACTGGATTACTCGAAAGCTCATTCCTTCAAATAGCAAAGAATATTTCAGCTAAAAACCATATCTCCCCACGCGTAAAAATAATCCAACCAAACACTTTTTTCTTAGTTCATGTTTTACAGTGAGTTGAATTTCATGGAGGTTTTATTCCACGTGATAGCAAATTCCAGACCATCCTTGAAGAATTTTTAAGGTATGTAAGTAAGTAGAGAGAGAGCACACACAGCTATCTCACCTAAGTGACCCATTATACGAAATCCCCAAGCACTGCATTTACCTTCAGGTACCTTAATATTCTTTTGTGGGTTTATTTAAGGACATCTGTGGATAAATGCTGCTACCAGATAAACACATTTATAAATTCAAAGTATACATATATATAATGATGTGGGGTCTATTATAATAATGTTATAGCATATTCTTAAATTACAGAAGCTCATTAAAAAAAAATCTTACCTTTGGTACACAATGTTTTTAACATACTTTAACAGTACAGTTGCTAATTTAGAAATACTAATGACATATTTGCTCAATTACAGAGAAGTACACAAAGGTGTAAGAAACAAAAACAGTTACAGTAGTAGAAGTTGGGATGACAAGACGTGTATGGCAACAATTTTGGAGCTTGCATATGTAGATATAGCTGCTTCTTTACACTATTAGTTAGTGCACAGTATCCTTAATGTAACCGAAAAAAATAGGCAGAAAAATAAAGATCTCCAAGTTCTCACACAGCATATTAGAGGAAACAGTATTTGTCTCTAGGCAAGAATTATTCATCTGGCATTAAAGCTCTTTTGAGTTTTTTACAGGTACTGTACGATTTCATCTGTACTTCTGTGCTTCTAAATAAATTTTAAAAAAGGGTTTTCCTTATCATCAAGGACTGAGCAGATGGATTACAGGTAAAATAAGACTATCTTCCAGGAAGCTCTTATTTTGCCTTTGCACTATAATTCCCACCACTTACATTTTTCATAACACACATGAAAATGGAGCAAGCATATGAATGACTGGGAAGAGGAAAAATGCAGTTGTAAATTTATGCTATAGATTATTTTATTTTAATACACCTTGTTAGCGTATGTATACCAAATTTTGTCGCTTTACTGTTCAGCAGTTTGGGGGTTATTTTTGTTAACTGATAATCTTGCAATTGGTATCATGAGACTACGCAAATTGTTCCTGAGAAATCGTGAGAACTCTTGATCATCTCAAGTAACGACAGGAGAAGTTAAATGTAATCTCATCCCAGGATGCCTCACAAGAAAGCCTGGGATACACAAGTGTTCCAGAAGATTTCCCTCATGCAGCAATTTTCATCTCTCTTCCACAGTTCATTAGGATTTACACAACATCATTATGTCTTACCAGAGCAACAGGGAGCAATTACAGCTCAGTTTCCCCCTTCCTATCTCCCTTATTCCTCCTGGCTCTTTTACCTGCTGCTGTTGCTTCTGGTTTCAACTACTGCGTTTGCCTCTGTTTACCCTCTCATGCCATCCTGGGTAAAATTCTGGAGCTTCCTAAATTTGGGGGCTTTTATGCTGCAAACTGAATACTTTTCAAATATTCATATTAATGGCAGACTGAAGATATGCAACCTCATTAAATCCTAGAGAGTTAAAGACTTTCCACTGCAGTTATTCCACCAGCTATGAAGTAAAAATTCAAGACACACTGTAACACATGTACCTTGATTTAGTCCTGATCAACAGGACACATTAGAGCAAAATTACATTTTTACATGTTTAAGTTTACAGCTGACCACTACAGTTTATCCTATAAGGCATGATGCACTCAAAAATATCTTACATCTTAGTGACAGATGATGTAACTATAGAGATGGCTGCAGTATTTTTTTTTTTCTTTCTGATCCTGGCATGAAACTTTTGCTTTTCTAAAATAAGATCTCGCAAAGCTTTCTAGAACTGCATCTTGGTACAGCTGAATATTTTAGCAGTTTGAATTAACATATTTTGAGTTTTCAGGAAAACAATCTCCTCCCCAAGCTTAGTGGATAAATTTACAACTGCAAACATGGATTTTCTTTAGCGGGGTGACTATTTGACAAAGTTAAAAGTTACAGATCACCCACCAACCTGCCCATGGTTTTGCTCCTCCAGTCAGTGTAATAACATTTTTTCCTGAAAGAACAGCAAAAATCAGCTGGGAATAATCAAGAAGGAACTGAAAAGGACATAAACGTTATCAAAGACAACTGGACATTTTATAACATGCATTTTCACAGACAGAAAACTGAAAAACATTTTTAAAAGGCAATTGCGATACAGTAAGTCTTTACACTGCTATCACTTCACATATTTTCAGGTTTGAAAATTGTTTCCGAGTGGCATTTCAATTTTTGATTTCATTTACACCTATGTAATCACTAATTCATTCACAAGTAACCCACTCAAGAGAGTCAAATGCTGTTACATTAATATTGACTCCATGAGATCTCTCTTAGTATTTCTTGACTCCATAAAATCACTTTAGAAGAATTACCAGAGGTCTCCATGCTATTAAATATCATAAATATGCTATGCATTAAATATCATTAATATTAATGCTATTAAACACTGTATGCACCATCACCACTCTCTCTGTTATCTCACCAATTTCCCTTGACATTTTACAGGCAACTGAAGAGCATTACATGTCCTCAAAAAATCTAAGAAAATTACTTGAAGCAATTATTTTTATATTAAAGTTCTTTTAATTAAAGCAAAAGTATTTAGATACTTCAATTTAAGGCTTAACACATTGTTTTTCACTCATTTGTTTCCCTCTCTTCACTCTAGCACACCTGAATATAATTCTGCTCTTAAGCAAATGAAGTTTCCCTCAGATGGTAACTTTTAACCTATAACCACAGAAAAAAAGAACCCATAACTAAGAAGATCCACAACTGCTCATCTGGACAGTATTTGAGATTCATTAAGTTACGCTAAAGCAATATCATCATGAGTACATTAAAGGGAGAGGAGGAGGAAATACAGGCTAGAAAATATGTGAGCAGAGGAAAAATTCTCTATCTACCAACCAATAGCTTTTTGGCAGGAACAAACTTGATAGTATTAGGCAGAATAGCAAAAGAAACAGTAAAGAAAATTAAAGCCTTTTTTCAGTTAAGACCTTAAGTGGTCTTAACTGTTTTACACAGAGTCCAGCTAAGCTATAAAAACACCTAAATCATTCCTTACACACAGGGATAACCTGTTTCACAAGGGATACTTGTAGACACAGATGAAATGAACTTGCTCTTCTCTTTCATGACACAGGCAGAACGCTCCAGCACTTGTGCACATTTTCTTCCATGGGAATCAGCCTGTGACCACAACTACACACTTTAAGCCTGTGGCTTGCAAGTTAATATAGCATTTATCATCAGTTCTTCTTATAAGGCATCCTATTTAAAGTGAAAAAGTTGCCATTTCTTTTGCAAAAGTTACCAAATTTGACCAGTTTTATCTGGCATGGATTACTGAGCTGTTAAATTATTAAAACGAGGAAGAACTTAAGTCACTTCTAAAATCCAGCTTAATCTAGTGACTTGAAGCATCAAAGTGGGTAAGAATGATTTTTCGGATAGAAATTTAGAAGGTTTATGTATGTACATATTCACACCTACACAAATACTTCTATATTTACACGTGGACAACGGATTGTTCAAACCAGAGAGCTCAAATGGCACTTTCCTCTTACAGTCTTAAACACACTGAGTATGGCTATTACAGAATATATTTTTTACGGAAAAGAATTTGAAGGCTTCATTGAATGATGTGAAAAGTCAGGATAGAACTGGAAAATTTAATTTTTGAGCCAGGGATTCTTCTGCATGCCTGTGTTTCTGGCCAAGGATCAGTGGAAGAGCTGCACGGCTATGGCTGCAATCAGCAGGGATGTGCAAGACAGAGCTTTTGACAGCCTACGTGAGAAAGGAGGGCTCTAAGGGTATCCCCCATGGGTCACACACAGCTTTGGCATCTGATTACCAGTTGAACTCCTGATGGCTTCAACACAAGCAACAAAGCTCTTCTCTCTCTGAAAAAATACAATTACTGGAGTGGAAAACATTTTTCCCCTGTAAAAAATTATGCAGTGTTACAGGAGATATTGACTTGTCTACAATATTTATTGCAAAAAGAGGTATGCCAGGGCTGGTAAATAAAGGATGTTTAGCACACAAAGGATCCACTTCAGGAAGGGGGTAATTTCTGAAACACAGAAATCCAAAGCTGTGTGTGAGCCATTAACAGCAAGTTCCACAGACATAGGTTTGATTCAACCTGCATTTAAGCCTGGAAACAAATGCTATAGGTAAAAGTGAAAAGAACACTGAATATTTTTTGTTTCTCCTCTCTCTTTACCATCTTGAATAAAACATACAGCATGCCTGGCACAATGCAATGAGGGGTTGGCATTGCACGCCTAGGGTAAGTTCTACATTTTTAATATCAAGCAGTGAATTAGAAGCTTCTTGAAATAGTTTCCACAATACCTGAAAGGCATCCTGATGTTCATTCTTTCTGCATACTTGCACAACGTCTCCCATGGACAGTGAATTTTAACGAACATAATATCACTGTTTGTAACAGCTGGCTGCAATGAGTAGTAACAAATAAATACACATTAATAATTCAATCCAAAGTGGTAGTCAGGTTTCTAAAATCATTCTTCAGGCTCAAATTTGGCTTTTAGGTCCCAAGTGCCTATGCAGCCCTGAAAATACTCTGAGCCAGAGAGAAGAAAATTAGTAACATTATTTCCCCCAACCCCTGAGATACCAGCAACTGTCAAAAGGTATTTGCAGCACAGAACTTTGCTCATGACTCCAGTAGCAGTACAAAAAGGCTCTATGCAGTAATTTTTGACCTGGATTAAATGTGTGCATCCCACAGCCTGTCCAAACCACCCCAGATGAGCAGTTTCTAGATCCTTCTATGCATCCCTATTTAAGGAGCATGGTGCTCAGGTGCTACCAATACAGGGCAGCTGACGGAAGGCTGCAGGTCCTGTTTTGCCAGAGCAGTTCATCTATGCAGTAGTTAAGTTGTTGTGATCTACTATGAATTTCTAACTGTGGTGTCCACATGAGTTTAGATTTTTCTTAAAAGCACAAGGGCCACACACACGTTCTCCATCGTTTATAGATTTATACATAAAACTCAAGACGTTCAGTATTACAGGATCCTATGCTTATCTATTCCACTTCTATCTCAAAGTATTCTCCCAGATGTATTTGTTTGGGTTTTTATATGTAAATATGGCTTATAAAAGGTTTAGCAATAGAAGATAAAACAAACCTTACTTAAAGAGTTAGTAACATTTAAGATATCCACAGTGTAATCTAACAGTTCTATAAAGTCATTTCAGACTTCTGCAATAGTGCTTTTTGGATTATAATTTTATCAGAAATATGAAGAAAAAAGTGCTTCGAGAAGACAAATGCACACCAAATATGCCAGGCTTAAAACTATTCCTACCTGAGATATAAACAGAAATCTGAACTTATTAAAATATTTTTCTAAAATGTCAAAACTTATCAACTAATCTGGGTGCAATTGCTCTGACATCAATAAATGTCTCCAGTTTTTTTCCTGATCCTCTCTCTCTCTTAGGCTCCAAACAATTCTAAAAACTTTAAATGAAAACTTGAAAATATTGTAACTTTCAGTAATTTATGAATATCTGTCATGCTATGTCAGCTAATACTTGCAAGAATGACTTTAAAACAGTTAAAACCTGATTGTTTTAACAATGAAGACGGAAGCTAGTTCTCCTGTGTTGAAGAATATAAATAATGAAAGACCAATGAAGCTGCTTCAGAACCTGCTTCAGAATGGATTAAACTGACATCCTTTCTGTAAATAGTCTATGAAAGAGCAAAAATCCATGGCTATTTTCCTTACGATGATCCTTTACTTATATTTATCCTGTCATTATCAATATCCCAATCACAAGAGCAACAAGTTTTTTTGTTTTTTTTAAAGGTTGACTGTAAGCACCCAGATACAATTAATTCATCTCTTTAATATGAGCAACCACATTAGAAGAGATATTAGTAGGGAGTTTTGGCAAAGTTGACTGTATCAGATCAGAGACCATTGGACAGAATCATCCTCTTGCAGCTTTTAAAAAAGTATTAAAATTCCTCTTAATACCAATTTTTTCAGTGTCTTTTTAAATACAGAAGTTAACAGTGAAAGCTTGCACTAAACGTTAAATTTAAATTTGCTTTTTACCAATGTCATAGTAATAGGTCTGTTCATTAGCTGTGCACGTTGGTGTGTCCATGCACAGTACTTTAAACATGTCCTAATTCAACAATTATTATTGCTTATTTAACAGTATTAAGAAGCACTATTAAACCAGTTAATTCTGTGACGAATCACTAATCTGGCTGGAGGGGAAAACAAACCATAAGGGAAGAAAGAGTCTGACCAGAAATGTTTGTAAGGCATCAGGAATCTTAAAAATTCAGAGGACGCCAGGGTTACAAGGATTGTTTTATAGGACAAGCTCCAAGATTCACCTCTCGTTCCAGCATCAAGCCCTCAGCTCGCAAGTTCTTCTCAAACGTGCTTCTCTTTTCTACCTGGGGACTTGACTTTTTGTAGACCAAGATGTAATCAATGCGTTTCTTGCCGTCTTTGAAGAAGAGGCCTGATGATGCCATGGCATTCGTTTCAGACTAGAGGTGATAAAATAAATACATGCTAAGAATGGTATTCGCAAAAACAAAACAATTACATATAATGAAGTGTTTTCTAAAGTATGAAAATATTCACACTTCTAAAGGACAAATATATGAAGGAGGAGCTAAAAGAGCAATTTCTTACTCATGATTTCAAATTAATCACAATAAAATTAGTCCAGAACAAGCATATTCCAGCTATTATTTTCCAAAAAGCTTTGAATTAAGGACTAGTATATGTGAATATGGACTCTTGACCCTATTGCATGGGCAGCAGGAGTGCAGCAAGGATATCTGAAAAATCACTATTTACTGTTTTATTGGATGAGAAAGGTCTAAACACATACACAACAGCCAGGCATTATTCACCCATTTTCCACTGATTTCACCTTTTCAGAGTTATGTGGTTAAAAAAAATAATACCACTGGAGTGATAAAATTACAAGAGTTGCGGGATTAAACCTCAGCAGTGAAGACGCATGGAAGGAAAGTCATGGGGATTTTTGCATCCAGAGAAATCTTACAGAACAATCATTCTCAGGTATTCTGCAAGACAGAAACCATTAAAAATATTGAGAAAGGCTTGCGATTTGAACATTTTCCTGGATGCGCAGCTTCAAAGGCATTTCAATGCCATGTTTGCAACGTTTCAATCTTGTCTAGTTCCTTCCCATCCTGCTTGTAAACACAAGGGATTCTCTGACCTTGAAATGGGAAAATCCACTTTAGAGGCTGCTACCCAAAGCTATTTTTATGTTGTCTTGTGCGTGATTCAGCGACTCTATCAACTACTGTCAGACTATGAAGAGTTTGAAACCTGAAAAGGTAAACTGTGAAGTTATCTTTTTCTGGAGATTGTGGCACTGATTTTTTAACACAAACAGTCCAGAACAAGTACAGTAATCTTTAACAAAATATGTTACAGCCGTACACATGTGAATAAAAAAATCTATTCATGCCATATGATGCATGATTATTTAAGATACAGTTCTGAAATTAGCATACTCCTTGAGCTATTTGATATGAAATATTTAATATCTGGATTTATTTCCAATAGTATGCTTTCCGTTGATAAATAGAAACATGGGTTAGTCGTATGTGATCTAATGTAGTCTAATTTGAAGAATATAGAGTCAATTATACATATTACAAAAGTGACCTAAAAACAGTCCAACATCTAAAGAAAAAGGAGGCAAATCCAAGCAAGATGGACTGTGTAACTGAAATCCATGCAAACACCACCTAGATGCTGCTCCATTCCAAATCAAAGACCAACAGGACACACAATTTACCACATTTTCAAAAGAGCTTCTATTTGCAATGGCACATTTGCAGTGAGACTGAAATAAAATGAAATTTAAAAAAGCACCAAGATATATGCTCCCTACTGCCTGATTGTATTAGGGGATAGCTCTAATTAAGGATCACATTTCTGCAGCGTATAACATTCTTTTAAGCATCTATTAACCAGCATTGCATTATTTTGCGTTTCAGGAAGTCGTGTGAGGTGCTAACGCAGAAGTCTCTGACCGCAGCATCCGCCTTCTTTCCTGTCAAAAAAAGGAACGAAGCCTTTGGGTTTTCTTTGATTCACAGCCATATTAAATCCCAAAGAGGTAATACATGATTAGCTGACATCCACAGCCTACCCTATTTTCTTACACCCTACTCAATTTCCTTACTATGCACTTTTGTCTGATGTACAGTTTTATCTAAGAAATCAAGAATTAGTTCTTTATATTGATGGAAAATTCTATTTCCCCTAGTTTGAGGGTAAACTATGGAAGTCAATGAAGAAAAAAATCGTTTGGGGAAATCTCTGTCTCATCGTATTTATAGGGTATCAGTAAAATACTGAGAAAAAAAAGTGACTAAAACATAATTCTGTGACAAACTTTTTACATGTGCAAACTGCTGTATGTCTGGTGAAGTGAGAGGAGTATTTGCAATTTACCCAGCAAGCTAATTTGCATTGGATACTATGACTCACACAGTGCTCAAAAATAGCTGGATCTTTATATCAAGACCCACTATTCCTCATCCTTTACTAACTGTATATAAAGAACGTTTAAAAAATGAGATGACATCATCTAGGATGTAGAAATCTTGTCTCCATATCATTCTATATTTTAAAAACATGAAGTATGACAGCAAGAGTTTTTGCTTTGCATTTTAATATCTAGGTTTTTGTTGGTTGTGAAATATCTGTTCCTCTTCTGTCTTGGAAAGACATTTCATTGCAACAGCAGAGCTGATTAAGAACTATTTCTCTCTTTCGCAGACTAGCAGCAGTTTGCAAAGAGGCCCCTCCAATGCCCACATTCTTATCAGAATTCCTTGGGTTTAATGCCCAGTAAATATTAATGATCTGCATTGCCAGCAGAGAGAAGTTTTCCGTCTGTGCATCTCAGGCCACCTTCAGAGAATTATTACCTTATTCTCGCAGATGCACAGACCTAGCTGAGCCCTCCTGAAGGCACTTAGCGCCGTTACGCAGTGAACCAGAACTACACTCCATCGATTTTAGCCCTGATTCACTTTCATGCTGCTCTGGTTTCCCCTCCGTGTAATTCCAGAACCCTGCTGTTCCCATCTATTAGCACGAATATCTCTGGCAATAAAATTATCTGGTGGCTGAGGTGTTTTCTACTTGGTATGGAGGAGCTCCAAAACATATAGGGAGAACAGGGAGCAGCACTTTTCGTTACCAGGATGAGTCAAGGTATCCTGGGCACTAGCAGCACCTTGCACAGCGGGTCCTGCTACAAGGGAGGCAAGTTACCATGACCAGAGCTAAATGCCCAGTGAATCCAGCTCACAGGCATTCAGCCCAAAGCACATTTATTATTTATCTGCTGTAGTGAATCTCTGACTCACTCTTTCACTTTTATGGAGGAGAAACCCATCAGAAGGTTCCCCCTCCTTCCTCTCTGCAAAAAAAATCCTTACTCTCAGAATCAGGATACATTGGCTTGCTTCACAAGCAATAAATATTACTGGAGATTTTTCCCTTTCCGATCTGCTACAATTCTTTGAGTTTCATCACTATTTGCCTTCATCTTTTGTTTGTTTCATAACTTGCAATTTTTACAACAAACAACATGAAACAAAGTATGAAATTCTTTCAGTGTGAAATTCAAAATACTGACATTATCATTCAACAAAAGGTCACTTTACACAGGACAAAAGCCCATTTGAATTTCTATCCATATCTCATACAGAGAGTTTCCTTTCATTTAGCTAACATGGAAAATTTCAAGAAATTATTTTTCAGTTTCTAATTAATGAGCAATGGCCTCTTTACAAAGTGGGAACAGCTGCTTAACTGGCTCTCTTTCTCTCTCCAATTAATTTAAATAGCACGATTCACAGAAATAATAAATATTTTAGTTCCTCCGATTTCAATCTACTATTCTGCACAGTAGATGTGGCCAAGTTTTCCATCCCTACATAGCGAGCAATATTCTAGCACAATGGGCTGGAACACATCCCAAAACATCAAGCAGCCCTTAGGAGAAAGGGAGGGTGAGCAGCACAGTAGGCTGGACCTCAGGTTTGCTGCATTTGGTGCATGTACATTTTTTTTTTTTTTTTTTTTTAAAAAAAACAGACACTACATACCAGTGGAAATCTCATTTTAAAATGATTTATAATTTAGCTTTGTAATTAAGCAAATCACAGAACAATTTTAGTGGTAATTAAAATCTTTGTTGCAGAATTCTCAATTTCAAATTTGATAAGCAATAAATTTCTAAAAATGCTGAGAACTTCATTAGGCCTCTGACTACACGTGTAATCAATGTGTGCAGACAGAAAAACAGAACCTGAAATCTTCACAGTTACTTGGGCTACCTGAGGTGATTGCCAAAATACCTCAGTTTCAGCAAAGTAGCACTGTCAGGTCTAATCATTTAGGAATCAACTGTTCTGAGAATGTTAAATTCACAAGCGCCTTAAAACATACATAAAGAAAACAAAATACGTTTCTGTTTAACTATAATCTTGGAGGGGGCTGTTTTTGCATCACTGATCCCTGAGAAATAATGTTCTTTTTACTTTGGGAGGGACTAGAGGAGAAGATCTATGCTCACATTATAGCTGATCCCAGAAGTGACAGCTATGTTTATGGGAGTGGGGAAGGCCACAAACACAAAATGTCCCAAGAAATAATGTAAAAAAACAAGATTTGAGAAAACTGCATCACCTCCAGCTTATTTCCCATCCAGCTTATTTCCCATCATGCATGTCTAAGTGCATATTATGCATTAATCCCTTAATAAACAACAAGTACGAGCTAGATAAATTCAGATGGCAATTCAACCAAAACCCTATTTAAAAGTCTGATCTCAACATCCAACAACTTCAACGTGCCCGCAATTGGACTATTCCAGACCAGGTTTCTCTGTCACTGGTAACTTGCAATTAATTCCTCCCTCAAAACTGTCCAGCCCTTGTATCCATATAGTCTTCCTTCTTTCCTAAGGTGTCCCACAGATCATTTCTGGGAACCACACCTTCTCCTTTGCTTTCAATTGAGGCCCAATTAGCTATACTTGATGCACCATAAACAAAATTCTACCAGGAAATAACATATCCTTTTACTAAACTTTGCAATTAGCTACGTTCAGATATTACCTATTAAAGTATAGAGAATATAGATGTAAGATTATATTATTATACTGCAACTGGTCATCCGCACAAGAATACAGAATGGTGAGTCTTTAGTATATTCGATTCATCACTTGGATTTTAATTTACATGATTCTCATCATTGACTATGATTTCAACAGTGATCCATAAATCTTTGGTCACGAAAAAATTCAAAGTCCTTCAGGGTGAAATTTAGCCTAGAAAAATCAGATTCTACGTATGTATATTTTAAGAGATTACTCTAACTTACTATCACTACCCAGTAAAGGAAGTCTGATGGGGAGAAAAAAAAATTATATATTTTACTAGCATTTTCCAATATATAAATGCTAAACAAAGAGCAGGAA